TAATCATGAATGGCACAAGGGTTGAGTGGTCTGCCGAAGTAACCTATCTCGGGATGTTGTTTGATGAAAAGCTCCTCTTCTGTGCGTATGTAGAGAAAACTGTAGTTAAGTGTTCTGCCTTGGTTAGGTGTCTGTATCCGCTGATTTGCCGCAGATCCCGCCTCTCAAGGGTGAACAAACTGGCCGTCTACAAACAAATCAAAGCACCTGCGATCCTCTACGCAGCTCCGGTGTGGGAATCATGTGCACAGACTCACAGGAACAAAATTCAGGTCGCTCAGAATAGAGTGCTGAAGATGGTTCTTGATCGTCCTTTTGACACTAGAATAACAAATTTACACGAAGAGGCAGGCATTGCCAAAATAGATTCCAGAATTAACGAAATTAAGACTAAATTTGCACAAAAATGTAATTTATCAGAACATGTTTTGATAAGCAATTTGTATATAGTAGATTAGGTGTATAAAGTAGTTGTAGGTTAGTTGTAGTTGTAAATAGTAGTTATAAGTAGTCTCCTTTTTTCAAATTTTAAACAAACCAATCCCACCAAGGTGGTCATTCTCTAAAACAGGCCTGATAGGACTAGGAACTGTAATTAATAATAATTGAAATTTCACAGGAACTAAAGTTGAAAAGACGCATCTGTGTCATTTGATAAGTTATACATGTAAACCACACAAATTCAAGAAATATAGATCATTTAAAGTAAAAAAAAAAAAAAGTTTTTCTTCGTCATTCTTTGCTGGACTGTTGATCTGTTCAGTCCGTATTTTCGCTCCAGTTCTCGATTCGATTTTGTTTCGTTTTGTGTTGTCGCGTTGCACCGTGGAAGTGTCACTACCTTCTCGCGTTCTGGCAAGTTTACTTAAATTTGCAATCACGAAACAAATGGTGCGTAGCCGTGCCAATGAGACAGCAGCGGGCCCTTCAAAGAAGGTGCTAATCAAGCCCAGCGCATCGCAGGATGACGCCGGAAAACGAGTACTGCAAGCCAATCAGCATGCAGTACTCCCGGAAGAAAATGGCGATGGTGACGCCGTTCGCATTGCAAGAAGAGAGCGGATTCCCCCGCTTTTCAAGCCGTTGAAGGACGTTGCCAAGCTGGATGCCGAACTGGAAAAACATAAGCTTTGCAGCATCGGTACCAAAATCATGTGCTCCAGTCTGGAGGAGTACAAACAAATAAGATGTTACCTGAAGGACAACAAGGTGGACTTCTTCGCGTATGATCTGCCATCGAGCAAGCCACTGAAGGTGGTTTTGCGTGGATTACCGTCATTCGAGGCGACTGCGGTAAAATCCGAGCTGGAGCGGTTCAGGCTCAAGCCTGAGGCAGTGTACCCGATGAACCGGCGTCCCAACCAAAACACCAGCCTTCGTGATCAGTTGTTCCTGGTGCATTTCACGAAGTGATCCACCAGTCTTGCGGCTCTAAGATCCAATATCCGGGACCGGTTTCAGGCCATGATCAGTTGGGAGCATTACAAACCCCAACATCGTGATGTAACGCAGTGTATGAACTGCCTCTCATATGGCCATGGCACCAAAAACTGCCACACGAAGACAAACTGCGACAAGTGTGCTGGAACTCACTCAACTGCGTCCTGTGAGCAAGATGACGACATCGAGCCAACGTGTGTCAACTGCGGTGGAAACCACCAAGCCTCCAATCGCGGATGTCCCAAGCGAGTGGAGTTTATGAATATCCATCGGAAGGCTACACTCAACAATCAGCCCGGTCGCCTTCGTAATCATCGTTCGCCTGCTGTACTCACGGAACCTAGCCCCGCTTCCGCTCAACAACCAACAAGCCAATCATGCGAGTATCCAAATGGTTCCCAACAGTCGGACAGTTCAGCATCGTCTCGCTGCTGCTGCGGCCCAGCCAATTCCAGGTTCATCCACTGCCCCTGGTTTATCATACACAGCTAAAAAAAAGTAGTGTAAATTTCTGTTACTATGATGCACATAAATGGAGCGTCATATATCATACAAGTTTAGATTATAGATCGTGTAAATTTATGAGACATGTCATTCAATATTCCACATATTGTATGCAACTGTCCACTTTTGTTTGCAACATTTCTTGCAAGCTGCTAGTTTACGTGAAAAGGAAGTTTACATGTATGAATGTTTGCATGCATGGATGTTTACATCGCCAGTAACATTCAGATTTTTTTGGTGTGACGCTGGTGCTGTCTCAGGTGAAACCTGTCGACGATTATCCGTTCACCTCGGAGGAACTTGTGACGCTCGTGGCCGAGGTCATCATCCTCAGCGCACCTGCAAGACTCGATCTGAACAGCTACATGCTGCCCTGTCCCTTGTCACTAAGTATGGACCGTGAAGCCATCAAGATCGTAAATTGGAATGCTTGCTCCTTGAAGAGCAAAAACATCAAGTTTGTTGACTTTCTCAACGAACGGCACATCGACATAGCCGTCATGACCGAGACTTACTTGAAGCCCGAGCTGAACGTCTTCCTTCCCGACTTTCGGCTCGTAAGGCTTGACCGCACCAGCTCCGGGGGAGGAGGAGTGGCCATCGTTGCGAGACGGAACATTAGATGCCGGCAACTGCCAAGCTTCCAGCTGAAAACTATCGAAGCCATCGGAGTTGAGGTGAGCACATCGCTTGGTCCAATCACAATCATCGCGGTCTACTGCCCCAAGCAAACCAACATTAGGGACGGCTCGGCCGCAGACCTCCGAAGAGACATCATCAAGCTAACACGACGGTTACAAAATTTCATCATCGCTGGCGACCTGAACGCCAAGCATCAAGCCTGGGGCAATAGTCGGCAAAACCAGAACGGCAAAATCTTGTACAACGATCTTCAAGCCCACTACAACATCCCACCCATCGACATCTTCATCAACATTGGCGATAACATTTCTCAACCTATCGCCCATCAGGAACTGAGCTCGGACCACTACCCGGTGGTGGCCGAAGTAGGTTCCTCGGTCAATAGGTTTGAAGTTTCCCGGCGAAATTACCATCGTGTCAACTGGCAGCAGTATCAGCGCTGTGTGGACACAGCAATCGACTACGACGTCCTACCGGAGTCATTCGAAGAAGTCGATCAGTGTCTGCAAACCATCGAAGAGACGATATCCCGTGCCAGGGAGCAACACGTACCAGCATCCAGACAGGTGAGTCATACTCTGAACCTTGACAGCCCAACCAAAGATCTTATCAGGCTCCGTAATAGCATTCGTAGGCAGTTCCAGCGTTCTGGGCTGCTCCTTTTGAAGACCAATGTCAATAGGCTAGCCAAAATTATCCAGGCCAGAATGGTGGAACTCAGAAATAACGATTTTGCCAACAAGATTCGCTCTCTCCCAGATTGTGCAAAACCATTTTGGAAGATGACCAAAATTTTTAAAAATAAGTCGAGACCGATCCCTCAACTTTTCTCTGTTGACCAGAACTCTGACCCATCCCTACTTATAACCCCAGTTGAAAAGGCCAGCAAAATTTTACAAAAACACAAACGCAAGAAACGCCTACAGAACATAACCACACTACAGCCGGAGAGGGATGAAGCTAAGAGGATTAGCCTACCATTTTATCCAAAAGTCACAAACCCAATCAAAAACACACTCAAACGTCAAGGACTACACATAGTACACAAAAGCGACAACACTCTACGCGACCTGTTGTGTAACCTTAAGGACAAGATTCCGGCGGATGAGCAGTCTGGAATTTACCGAATTCCCTGCCAGGATTGTCCCTCGGTGTACATCGGACAAACCCGTCGCAAAGTAAAAGTTCGCCTTAAAGAACACAAAAATGCTGTCGACAACAAAAAATCAAACGATTCAGCTGTGGCGGCGCACACGACGGCCTCCAATCATCAAATTGATTGGAAAAGTGCGAAGCTCATCAAAACAGTACGAAAACCCTCACACCTCAATGCATGGGAATCAATGCATGTCAACAACACACAGGAACCACTGATGAATGAAGATGATCCTCCCATCATATCATCTTTGTTCAACTTGACGAAGCTGAAAATACAGTAACAACTCTCCTCTCTGGACGTCTACACAACAGCGTAGCAATCCTATTGTAACCAGTCGGACATTGTCCCGTAGATAGGCAGCATCGCGCCCGAAACCGGTCGACAGAAAGGTAATTTTTAATCCGTTTTAAATGTTGTAAGAACGATAAGTGTTGTGTCTTGTCTCACGTCGCGTGTTATGTGTGTCGTGGAGTTCTTACGTTAGCACAAAAACAACATAAAAAGCCAATGCTCTTTGCCAGCATTTTGAGATTTCACATAATCTTAGCCAAACCATGGTGAGCCCCCATGAGCCTGCCGTACTGGAGGCAATGTATAGAGTCGCTGACACCCCCGTAGTAGTGCAGATGATAGTAGAATAGCGGCTTATGAGGTGATAGCAGCACTAAAAACTTGAAGGCCGCGAGTATGGATGGTGTGGTCAACCTCGAGTTGAAAAACTTGAGTATTAACTTCTTCAACCATCTTACCGTTATCTTCATCAAAGGTTTGGAGCTGGGCTACTTCCCTGCATGCTGAAAGTTAGCCAAAATGATTCCAATACGCAAGCTTTGGAAAGATCCGAAAAGTGCCAAAAGCTATCGCTCTATCAGCCTCTTGTCTTCCATCTCGAAGCTATTCGAAAAGTTGATACTCAGCTGTCTGCTGGTGTTTTCAAATGATAATAACATCTTTCTCTAAGAGCAATTCGGGTTTAGGAAAGGCCACTCTACCATCCACCAACTCGCACGGGCTACTAACATCATCAAGCGAAACAAGTCCGTCTCCAATATTCTTTTTTTTTTACCCGACCCTTTTCAAAAACGGAAAGTTGTTCCGTCCACTAGCGGTCCTACGTCAGGCTTCCGTTCGTGCCTCTAGATACAGACCATTCTACTTTTTTTTGTCAGATCTCCAGTCCTGTGAAACTGGCATCTACGTACATTTCTCAAGCGAATCAGTAATTGGGTGTGATAATCAATAGCAACAAACTTACCCCTCACAGGAACTTGGCGAACACATGCCTCGTTAGGCACGGATATGGCCTGTTGGAGTCCTTCCAAGGCCCGGTCGATGTCTTCTACAGTGTCATTCGGCGGATCTTCATCGATGCCTCTGTCAACCACTCGTCCAAACTGCACCCAGGTGACGTGGTGGTAGTCTTTGCGCAGGCTTGGAGCAGAAGCCACGTTGATGCCGACTTCAGCCACCACCGGTTGATAGTCCGATGTTCGACAGGAAAAAGTCCAGGGTGGAGGGATTTCCCGCCCGAGAGATGAAAGTTGGTTCGTCTGGAAACTGCACAGTGTACAGTCCGTGTTGTACGTGATCGAACAGTAGACGTCCGTTCCGGTTCCACTGGTAGTTTCGCCAAGCTTCATGGCGGGCATTCAAGTCACCCCCAACGATGAACCGGGAGCTAGTATGGGTGATGGCAGTCAGGTCGTTCTTTAACTTGCTTACCGCAATCCGTTGATGGTGGCTCACTGCCGAGGAGAGTAAACAACGATAAACCGGACACTTCCAGTTGGCGATTCGACCTCCACACTAAGAGTTTCGATGATAGAACTGTGGATATGAGGCAGCCAGTAGAACTTGATTCCTTTCTTGATGACGACCACAACACCACCACCCCCCTGACCGGATTATGTTGTGGTCAGGCAACCAGAAGCTGTCACCTGACTTTAGGTGGGTCCCGGTTAGAAGGCCCACGTCAATGCTGTGCTTGCGGAGGAATTCGGCAAGCTCAATCTTTTTTGCTCTTAGAGCAAGCATTCCAGGTGACGATAGTTAGCAGTTTAGACGCCATACTGGATGATAAACTTACCGAGTACTTCGATCTGCTCGGGCTTATTGCGGCACTACCGAAGAGCACCGCTTATGTTGATGAAAATTTCCATCCGTTCATTCGCTGACCGGGGTTGTTGTTTTGCGCTGTTGGTTGTTTCCAGAATCAAGAAGGTGGGTCATGATAGCCACCAAGAGGTGGGTAACCCGCTCATGAACTGAGCTAAGGAGCTACTTCAACAGGCTGAACGAGTGAACGAACGCTCTATTAAAATGAACGGTAGCTCACCCGCTCACCATCACCACAGCAAAACAGAAGTGATAGCTTAACTAGTTCAACTAAGCAAGAGCGCAAATCGGAACTGAGCGAGAGCGTTTGATTGCTGTGTGACAGCCAGTGCTGCAAAATCTCGACAGTACACGGTGATATTGAAAATTCTGCTTTGGTCACTCATTTGAGCTAACAGTCATAGTCAAGGCAAACCATGTCAATTGTCAATGACAATGGTGTCAGTGACGAACATGTGCAGATTTGTTTATTAGCTAAATTTGTAACGAAATTAAATGACTTGAGCAAAACAATTTCATGGATTCATTTTAAAGAACAAGTATCTACGTCCTGAGCTACTTGGATAACAATAATGTGACACAGAATGTACTTAATTACACTTTTTGTTACCAGGTGAATCTTTGTCATTGACGAAAAAAAGAATGAGATTTTGACGAAGGATTTTTTGAGGATCAAGTTTGTCAGTGACTATGTGACGAACAATTTTGTCAATATCGCGCGAAAGTCTGTCGATGACAATGACAAATCTCAGCATTGGTGATAGCTGAGCTAGAGCTACGTTGAGCATGGACTGATTTAACTGAGCGAGAGCGTGAACCAGAACTGAACGAGAGCATTTGATTGTGACAGCTGAGCTAGAATTATGTTAACGATTGAACTGAATGAGAGCACGAACTGGAGCTGAACGAAAGCGTCTGATTGCTGCTGCTAGAACTACACGGAAAGAAAACAAATTTTTGCAGATGATGTTTGTTTTGATTGATAATTGAAATAATTTAACATTATTTTTAGTTGATTCATCCTAAGATTGTATGCTTTATTTCTTAAGCATTGTTCTTTTCTAACAACCTAAGCTTTGGTTATAACAATCTGTTTTTGTATGAGAATAACTTTGTCGATGATTGCATTCTACTCCCCTTCATATCGAAGCAATATGAATTTATGAATTGACTTCTACTATGAACGTCGTTTCAAATACAGACCAACTTTAGTTCCAGTTTGAACTTACGTCATATTTTTTTATTTAAAACTAGATTTTTTTTTCTCTCCGTGATAGTTGAACTGGTGCTGACGGAAAATATCTGAGTGCTATTTGATGAATGAATCAGATATGAAAAAAATGAATGTGACTGACAGGAGAGCAAGAGTGTAAACTACCAACCAGCGCTGCCAAGTGTACAGAAATGTATACACAAAAAGTGAGCTGCTTCACCAAACCAGCATCATATTTAATATTGCGTGGTTTGATGCTGCTTCATGCAAAGAGTAGCCAAATTCTGGAACTATTTTTGAACTGGACATTGTTAACAAATTGATTCTATTATTGAAAATAAAAAAAGGGTCTGGTATGGGGCAACCATCAAGAAGTCCGCCTATGCGTAAAAATTTGCAATGATGTGGCATCACTGAAACTAACAAACGTTTGTCTCTCACGCTCTCGTCCAGATTTTTCTTTGATATGTGATTTCTAATATTCTGCAATGAAAAAAAAACACCCATGACTGCAACCTCTTGGAGCCAGTTTTTCGTTTTTCTGCATTTCATTCAGTTCAATACTTATTTGCCAATTAATATTTTTAAAAGTGATTGTTTTCAACGTTGCAATTGCATTGATGCTGTTTGCAAAGTGGTAAGTCTATTATAAGGTTTTCGTTGCTTGCTGTCAGCAATTTAAAACATTCGATGATTTCTTATTGTAGATTAAAATGCTGCCCCAAGGAAGGATCACCAGTGATATCTGGTACCATTTCAAAAAAGAAGAAGGCAGAGGTATATGCCGTCACTGCAAAGCCAGCATCGCTATGTCATCAGGATCTTCGGGAAATTTAAAGAGGCATATGAAAGGCAAACATCCATTCAAACATCCCGCTGAACAGAGATGGAACACAGGAGCAACCGAAATCTTCAGCTAAAACTGCTTGCACTCTCAACTCAGAAGACGTACAACCGCAACCTACTTGCCAGAACGTGAGTACTCAAAATCGAGAATCTGCTACAAAATCCGACACTGCTGTTACTGGATCGTCTTCGTTTTTGGGTAGGGGAACAGTATAACGACCTTCTGGACCTCTTTGAACTCCACGTTGAAATAATTCTTCACACTTTTTCTCCTCCAGAGAATAAGCGTCCGTGAATTCCACCTCCTCGCATGACCAGAAACGTGCCATCAACTTTTCCAAGTCCTCGGACGTTGAGAAATGGCAGTTGACTTGTAGGGATTTGATAGGCGTTGAACAGCCACCACATACTACCCAACCCAACACCGAGTCTGTAAGGCTTGGTAGATGTTTGCCGATTGTAATCCTTCGCCCCGATTCGAAGAATTCGAAGAAAGCCTCGATGCCTAGCACAATGTCGACTTCCTTGGACGTGAAGAATGCAGGATCCGCTAGCTCAATTCCATTCGGTAGAATCCACCCTTCCGTGTTGATTGAGGTTGTAGGGAGATTTGCAGTCACCTTGGGTAGCACCAAAAACCTCATATCTCGCGAGAAATCCGAGATTCGCGAACGTATGACCGCTTGGACTGTATGTTTGACCTTGGTAGCCCCTTGTCCTATACCAAGGACCGAGACGTCGACCTTATTCCTCATTACCTTCATCCTTTGGGTTAACCGTTCCGATACGAAGTTGCTCTCTGTACCGGAATCAAGAAGAGCACGGGCTGGTACCTTGAACCAACGTCGTCCTAGACGATGACTACCGCTGTCGCTAAAAGGACTTGCGATGTGAGTTGATTAGACGTACCGCATACCGAAACGTCAGTGGCTGCCACGTTACCCAGTTGGATTGAATTGGTACCTGTGGAGCCTTGGGATTCCTTGGAATTTGAAGGATGATTGCCCCCAGCAATTGCTGCGACCGTTACAGTGTGATCCTTCTCCGACTTGAAGCAAACCAGGGTGTGATAACGGTTCTTGCAGATCCGACAGGAAAATTTGGATTGGCAATCCTTTGCCTGATGTCCCGATCGAAAGCAATTCCGGCAAAGTCCCTGAGATTTCAGTAGAGAATCCCGATCCACCACAGAAAGTCTTTGGAATGCGGAACATTGGTATAGAAGGTGGTTGTCCTTACAAGCCACACATCCTCCTCCTGAGGATTGAATCGAATTGTAGCTTGCCTTGATTGCTGAAGCTTTCGGTTTCGGTGGTGGTTGTTGCTGATGGATGATCTTGTTGTCCGTCTGCCTAGATGGACGGGATTCCAGTGCTTGCATTCGCTGACGCAGAAATTCGGTGAGGTCTGTCAGTAAATCCATCTCCTTGTTGGCCGAATATTCTTCCCATGCTCGACGAGTTGATGGATCCAGTCGCATCGTGAGCAGATTCTCCGATAGGAGATCCTTGTACTCAGCAGGTTCAACGATTTGATCAAGTGTTTGTACGACTCGGTCAAAACCTTCCACCAGATTTCGTAACTCAGCAACAGATTCCTTGGAGAGGGTCGGAAGTTTGAAGAAAGATTGGACCTGCTTCTTCTTCAACAGCTTGTTGTTGTTGTACCTCTTTACCACCAGAATATCCCAAGCTATCTGGTAATTCGCCTTGGTAATTTTCAGTGGATCGATTAGGCTTTTAGGTTCACCTTGAAGACACCCCTTCAAATAATGAAATTTCTCCACCCCTCGTAAATCAGTCCTCCAGTGGATGAGCGAGGTGAACAGGTCTCGGAAGCTCAACCAGTCATCGATGTCACCGTTGAATGATTGGAGTTTGATCTGCGGTAACCGGACATGACCGACAACACCTGACATTGATTGTTCATGGGCGGACTGTTCCAACTCAGAAGAAACGCGAAGGGCCTTGCTTTTGTCCAACAGGAAGGTTTTGGCTTCATAATAGCGATCGCTCAAATGCTTGCATAACTTACTATAATAATTCTCCTCATCCTCGAAGTCTTCATGAGATTTTAGCTCGACCAAATTCTCACTAAATCTCTCCCACAAATCATCGATCCGTTGTAATCGAACTTCGACTTGAGTACCGGTGGTTTCATCAGAAAACTTCTGAATGAAAGACCAAATGTCATCGAACGAGGATTTCAAATCGTCCAATTGAACCCACAGTTGCTTCAGGGATGACAATCCTTTCCGGGTGGTGGGTGGCATTTTGATGTGATGTCGAACAATCGGTAAAGAATTTGGAGGTGTAGTATTCCGCGTGTAGTCTCCGCTTCGGCGGACATATACTGCTCGCTATTACTGACCTGGTAGAACAGGTAACTGTTCTGAATCCAAATTCGAACCAAAGTAGCAAAAGGTCCGATGACGTCACATCAATCTTGCCTCGGTAGGGATCACTC